TTTCGAGGTTTTTGCATGGTTTGCTCCAGATGGCCAGAACCTCGAAAAAACCAAAAAAAACAAAACTGCAGACCACATGTCCACAGAGTCAGACAAGAGCCCCAATGGGGTCTGCAGTTTTTTTTTTTGGTTTTTCGAGATTTTTGCATGGTTTGCTCCAGATGGCCAGAACCTCGAAAAAACAAAAAAAACAAAACTGCAGACCACATGACAAGAGCCCCAATGGGGTCTGCAGTTTTGTGTTTTTTGTTTTTTTTTTGTTTTTCGAGGTTTTTGCATGGTTTGCTCCAGATGGCCAACAGCAAGGGAGATTGCTTGTTTATATTGTAATTTTCAGCATTTCAGCAGCAGATAGAAGGCTTTGAAGTAGAGAGTGCAAAAAACGCGCGTTTCTACAATATGCATACTCTCCCCCCCTCACCCCCCCTTCTGAAAAAAATCATATGGGAAATCTGCATGAGTCATGTTGTTGGATGTGATGATTTGGGGTGATGGTCTCGCGCGACTCGTGCAATGTGTGTGTAACCCTTGGAGTCATAGGGAACCTCCTGCTTTTTATAACCGTATGAAACCTTCTTATCACTTTTAAGCAACAGAAGGGATGCCAGGGATGCACACTGGACTGGCACCGACGAAGGCACCAGTGTTGCATCTGTGAACTCAGCCTGGTGAGGTCTTGCAGGTCGGCAGATGCGCATTAAAGGGCTAACGCACTCGTCCTCATCGCTCGCACTGGTGGATTTCTAGATGCTCCTGATCCTTTGGGGATGCTGAGACCGTCTTGCATACCCACTGGCTTTCTTAGGTTTCCATCACCGAGGTTTCTTCTGGGCCTGCTTCATTCAGACCGTACGTACTCTTATCCAAAGCGTGTGTGTGTGTGTCATACTCTGTTTCTAAGAGCTACTCGTTGCAGCAGGGGACCAGGCAGGGTACATCGTCGCCTGGTCAACGAAGCTGGCGATGTATCTGAAGATATGGAAGTCGGACGCCACTTGTGGCGTTGACAAGCTGTTACCCCACTCTTCTGAACAAGGGCCACCAAGTTAATCTTTCTGAACATTTCTTCCCTCCGTGACCTTACAAAATATACCAAGGCCTCTTTTGAGGCAGCAAAACAACTCCACGGCGGCAAGCATACCGACCTGGAGCTCTGCGCCTTTCGGCGAATGGCTTCCAACTTGGAAGAACCAGGCCGCGCAAAGGCCCTCCATCTCGTTACCCCAGCTACCGCAACCTGACTCCCCCTCGGCCCAACTCACCGCTCACAATACCATTCCTTGCGCACCACGATTTCTCCCACGTGACACGGCAATGGATCAAGTCCTTGGTCCCTTGGTGCGACAACACATCACACATGCCATCCCTTCCCGCCTACCCACCTGCAAACTGCGCGAAGCAGCTCACCCCACACTCCGCAGCAAACTCCACAACCACCGCGCATGGGAGCAACTCCCCCATCCTCCCGCTGATGAAGCCCAACTCCCGTGTACCTGTGAGCACTTCCACACACTCCTGCTCAATCCAAACCACCCTACCACCGATGTCCTCACGCTAGCAGACATCCACCTCCCAGATCACCTCACTATTTTCCTGGACGCCAACATGAACAGTACCTACTTCCCCACCAAGCATCAGACTACCTTCCATCAAGCCTTCAAACGTTGGCTCCGCACACACGGCCTTCCGCCTTCCCTGATTCAAGAAACTGATATCTTTTGCGACACCCCATGGCGCCGTCACACTCACCACCTCCACCACGAACCCCGCCTCACAGCCATGGCCCTTCGTCAACTTCAAGCACATCTCGGTGACAACGCCGTCCTCCATGCTGACCACAGCTCCGACCGGATCTTCTGCCCCGACACGATTTCTGCGGCAGCATCGCCACTTGGCAATCTCCTGAACTCTTTCAACCTACGCCACACCTCACACCCGACAACCTGCGTGACCACCTCTTGGCCACTGTACCCCCTCATCTACGCACCCGCTACAAATGGGGTTTTCCGCAAGGCTTTCAACCTTCCTTAGGGGCAAAAGAAGCTTTTGCGAAAAGGCCGCACTATCATTTCCTACTTCCACTCCCTACCAGGCCAACTCTTCCGCAATACCAGCCGGGCACAAGACACCATGTTGCAACATCTCTTGTCCCACCATCCAGGCCAAGTGTCCATTCCACAACTCAATGTCCACGCCACCAACGACGATCTTGTCGGTTTTTCAACTCCGTCCCCCGAGACCGTCTCTTGGATGTGGTCCACGGCCAGATTACAACCTGGCAACACCAGCACCAGACTACCAGCATTACCATCGACGTCAAAGCAATCGGCAACCCCATCCAGCGCTACCACATCGGCCGCCACCACCGACGGCGCCCAACGCAACGCACACTATACATCCAGGACATCGCCACTATTGTGTCTTTCGCTCTTGACACATGTATTTTCCGGGCCTGCAACTCCACCTATACGAGGAGTCCGGGGGCCGGGATTGGATCCCAGCTCTCTCCAGCCTACACTGATTGAACACGCCTGGCACCAACTTCGCAACCACGCCCACCTCCACCTCAATTACTACCACCTTCAACAACCGCTTTCCCTGAGGCTCCTTTTGTAGTAAATTTACAGAAAACGACGTTATGCGGGTGTGGTTTTTACGCGTTTTTGTGATTTGTGGTTTTCTGTGTTTTTTTGAAAATGTTAGTTGTTTTGAAGAACGTGTCTAGCAAAAATGTCGACTTGTAATCTATCAAATTTCTCATCAATCTGATTCAAACATACTAGTTCTCATTGATTCCCACACAGAAGTCCATCAACCATCATCTATCAGCAAGTCCACGACATCCCATCATACAACATCAGGTCATCACCTCTATGTTGGAGATCTGGTCTCCAAGACCTCCAATCTCAATCAGTCCTCAATCTCCAG